CTGCCAGCCCATTTCTACAAACAAATATTATATTTTTAATTGTGTTGGGATTGTCACCTGTGGACATTTTAAACTGTTTTACATATTCGTGCAGAGGCATAGCCTCTAAAGAAAGGTTGTCTCTGCAATGGAAATAGTTGTTCCTGGTGATTAGACATGGCAAGTAAACTTGGACTCGTATCCAGATGAATTTTATATTTTATTTAAAAAAAAAAATTGAATATTTATATTATTTACAACGGGTTTAAATAATATTCTAAACTTAGACATTGTTTTGGAAATCTTCATTGCTACTGGTAGATTTTTCCAACAAAATTACAAAGCTATCCATTATTTTTATTTATTATTTGTTCAGTTATTCCATCTAATTGCTACATATGTTTTCCTTCCTGTTGTATATGTGCAATACATTTTTGCAAACATTCTTCATTTGTTGGTCAAATAACTTTCTAGAGTCACATAATCCAGTGTTGTATCTTTGCTTGCAGTGTAGTTTTTCACGCTTGCCCATGTTAATTTTATCTGATTTATGATTGCCACTTTCTTACTGAAATCTAACACTGGTAAACTCAAAAACAAAGCAATTTCATTTATTTTGTATTTCTTATATTTATGCTTAATCCTTTTTACAAGATTTAAATATTCAATTTTAACATTTATACATCAGAAGTAATATCTTACTTTGTAACCATTTAATTATTTCTTGTTTTGGAATTTTTTCTAATTTAATAGAATATGGAGCATTATCAATTACAATAATGTTTGCTTTATCCAATTAGGAATAATTTTCTCAAACCATGTTTTTGAACGTCTCACCATCCACTTCTATGTAATAATCTTGTACATTGATTTGAAAGCAGCATGGACAAATGTACAAACTTTCAATGCAACTTACAATAGGGCTTTTTTCTGAAGAATTTTTTAAATCTGTAAATTGCCCAAAAGAATTGCATTATGACTAGGAATAACAGTAGTGTCTTTCCAAACAGTTTGCTTTCTATTGCTTGAATTAATTCCGGTTTCATCAAAATAATAAATTATCAATTTTCTGATCTGTATTCTTATTTTATGTAAATATTCTGGTTGCCAATGTCAGATCATTGACTAAGGAGAAATTACAATAATGATATATTTAATTGATTAATTTAATTGAAATTTCGAAAACAGGAAGAAAAATGTAATTTAATCGGCAATCCTATTTGTAATCCTATGTAATATTACTAAGCATTAAAACATATATGTATATATTAAAACTGTTTCATAGATTTAACAGTGTTGAATACAATGATAATACCTTATCTATTACTCTTATCTAGAGAGATTTTATTTTTAGATTTAACATTTTAACAATAAGAATATTGTTAAAATGTTAAATTTAAAAATAAAATATCTCTAGACTGTTAACATTTTAATGAAGTTCAATACTGATTCCATTGCTTTTATTTTTGAATTTATATTTAAGAATATTGTATTTTAATTCTAAAATTTAAACTCAAAATTTATGTTATTTAGAAATAATTTTAAATCTATAAATAATATTTCATATTACTAATTATATTCTGTTTTTAGGATTACATACCATCTAATCGAGATATTCTGCATGCAAGGAAGGCAACCAAAGGGATTACCGAGTTCACCATTCCCGTTAACGGTATTCCATTTCATTTCGTCGATGTGGGAGGACAAAGATCGCAGAGACAAAAATGGTTTCAGTGCTTTGACAGCGTCACTTCCATTCTCTTTCTTGTATCCTCCAGTGAATTTGATCAGGTGTTGTTAGAGGACCGATGCACCAATCGACTACTTGAATCCTTAAGGATTTTCGATACGATCATTAACAACAGATGCTTCAGTGAAGTGTCTTTTATTTTGTTCCTCAACAAAACCGATCTGTTAAAAGAGAAGATCGAAAGAAGAAGTGCAAATATCTCTGAATATTTTCCGCAATTCCGAGGGGATCCATTTAGCATCGATGACGTACAAAAGTTCATCTTGGATTTGTTTGATGACGTTCGAAGGGATAAAAAGAAGCCATTGTTCCATCATTACACAACTGCAGTGGATACGGAAAACATAAAAGTCGTATTTAACGCCGTCAGGGACACCATCTTACAAAAGAACATAACACAACTTATGTTACAATGAGAAAAAAGAGAAAACTGCTGGCTTTGAGAAGAGTCGTAAATTTAACCAAAGAAAGTCGAGAATCGGCAATACTGATCTTTGACAATATTTATTTTCCGAGTTTTGTTTTAGGAATTTTAACAGATGAATATCCACTCTTTTTTAAAATTTATTTATATAATTCCACTTAAAAGTTTATTATTTATGTATGTATATACAAGGTATTATCTATTAATTCCAAAAATATTAGCCCGGCATACAGTCTCTAGTCACTACGTGTAATTCAGGGTTTATATATAAATAAATACACATGTAGCAGCTCATTTTTTAATACATTTTTGCAAATATCGGAAGAAAACGTTACAAAAAAATTACGTTAACGTAATTTTAAAAAGCTTTAAATCAAAATGTCAGGCCTGCAAGTAATCTAAATACTCGTTTAATGTATAGTTACAATTTCGTTCTCTCATCCCAGATTCATTTGTAAATATTTAAAAACTTATTGTACTTAACAGTTTGGGTAGCTATTTATAAATATATTGCGGAAGTTTTCTATCAGCAAATAAAAATTTGTTCCACTACTTAATCAAAATAATGTAAACGAATAGGGTAAAATGTTTATTTCCTCTACTACAATCGTGCCTTAAACTGCCAAGGAACTCTTAACCCAAGATTCAAGTGTGTGCGAGAAAGTCGTAATTTTTATTCTTTTCGTCTGAATTTGTCTTTTTAGCGCAATTCCAATATATGTATATCAAGATAATGTGAAACTAGGAATATTTATAACAATTTTTTTATTATATTTACAAATGTAATAATATATCAAATGAATAAGGTAAAATTTGTTTTGATAATTTTTATTTAAATCTTTTAATGTTGTAAAAAAGTATTTGTTACTATTTTAAATTTTTCTTAAAAGTTGAATAAATTCAGGTGTCTTTTGAAAATAACTGGAATACTTTTAAGTTGTTTTTCTTTCTTTACAGGTGAATGTGATACTTATTCGTTATGTAATGAGAAAATATGCTGTGATAAAGCGAGATTACAGGAAAAAAATAGAAATGAAATTAGAAATAAGTGTTAGAGTACTTTTGAATTGTGACGAGCAGTGCCGAACACTAGAAATTTTCATACCCAAGATAATTCTAGTAATACGTGGTACCAGTACGTCTCCTCGGATATTCTACCCAAAGGCACAAAGTGCTCTGACTTTTCAAAAATTCATACAGATTGTTTTTCTACAATTTAAACAAACAAACTATCAACAATAAGAATATTTCCAATTAATCATTATAGTAACTTATGTGGGTGGCCCAAATGAGATAGTCTTACAGTACAAGTATTTCAAAATGTAGTACTTTGCATTTGTGCCAGTAGATGGCATTGTATAGTATGTCGGGAAGCCAACTGTTATAATCAGAAAGTGTGATGAGAAATTTATACCATAGCCATAGAACTAAGGAATCAAAAATTGCGATTCCATAAGGAACATTGGTGTCCTGACCTAATGTTTATAGACCTTGCTTAGACGACTGTACTTCAATAGGGAAATAAGACTACACGTTGCGCCATGTGACGAATTCTAGGAAAATTTCAAAAGGAATTTGGATGGGTTGTAGTGTGTAGGGTCGCTCACCTTTCCTTCTTATATAGTAATTTAAACATCTTGTTAGTGGTAGGGAAAAGAAACAATTTTGAAACATTATTTATTAAGATCTACTTTGGTTTCATTCTTGATAGATAATGATGATATTAAAGTTGTCGAATTCATATAAACAATTTGGGTATAATAGAANGGTTTCAGTGCTTCGACAGCGTCACTTCCATTCTCTTTCTTGTATCCTCCAGTGAATTTGATCAGGTGTTGTTAGAGGACCGATGCACCAATCGACTACTTGAATCCTTAAGGATTTTCGATACGATCATTAACAACAGATGCTTCAGTGAAGTGTCTTTTATTTTGTTCCTCAACAAAACCGATCTGTTAAAAGAGAAGATCGAAAGAAGAAGTGCAAATATCTCTGAATATTTTCCGCAATTCCGAGGGGATCCATTTAGCATCGATGACGTACAAAAGTTCATCTTGGATTTGTTTGATGACGTTCGAAGGGATAAAAAGAAGCCATTGTTCCATCATTACACAACTGCAGTGGATACGGAAAACATAAAAGTCGTATTTAACGCCGTCAGGGACACCATCTTACAAAAGAACATAACACAACTTATGTTACAATGAGAAAAAAGAGAAAACTGCTGGCTTTGAGAAGAGTCGTAAATTTAACCAAAGAAAGTCGAGAATCGGCAATACTGCACTCACTGTCTGTACATTCCATGTTATTGATTTGAGATTTGACATACTGATGATTTTATGTGGACAAAATGCTAAATAACACCTACCTGTGTTGTTGCATTAGTGTGCTTATTTGAGAGTATAAAAGATCATTCTGTAATTTTATAGGGCTATTTATAAATCTAATTTACATGTGACTTATATAGAAACTAGAGAAAATCTGTATTGGTTAGATCTACATTAACTTGTTACTCATTCTCTTAATAGATCCTTTAGTGATAAGCATAAATTTTGCTGAAGGGAACAAATCTTACTTGTCTGAATTGAACTAATCTGAATTGTCAATTATTGGTGTGTTGTAAGATTTAACCTCCTTCAGAAAAATTTATGCTTAACACTAAAGGATCTCTGCTAAGATTATCAGATCAATATGGAACCTGCATCAATTGAAGTAAATGGAAGAACTAGAAATATATGTCGTCACTAAAAGAGAAAGTTCTGACATCCTTTGCATGGAGGTTGTGTTATGAGATACCATGACAAGAAGTGTGTTAATCTCTGTTACTCCTTTAAGTTGAGGTGTTACATTTTGTGTCTGCCTTGTCATTTCAATTATTTATAACTTCATGCAATTTTAGGGGTTAATAAACTCATAGATTTATGTAAATTTTAATGTAAGAGTCACATGATATATTTCAAGGTACAACACATCACAATTTGGTTAAATGTTTAAATTTTTAACTTGAATTCGTTCAATTACATACCTCGAAGCCTGTTACAATTTTTTCTTTGTTCAGTGTTAAATGGAAAAAGGCAACTATCCTCAGGACCATGCGTTCCCCCATCATTAGCATTGCACAAAGAAGAAATTGAAATTTATGAAAGTAAATTAAATGATGGTTGTATTAATACCAGGAATGCGGATGGACTAGGGTCTGCATGGAAATTCTACGTAACACAAAAATTAAAATATAAAAACTCTTAGTCAGAACCTACCCTTATACTTGGATGCATTTTTATTTTTATTTATTTTATTATATTATTTATATCGTTATTGTTTTAATTTATTTGANTACAAAAGAACATAACACAACTTATGTTACAATGAGAAAAAAGAGAAAACTGCTGGCTTTGAGAAGAGTCGTAAATTTAACCAAAGAAAGTCGAGAATCGGCAATACTGATCTTTGACAATATTTATTTTCCGAGTTTTGTTTTAGGAATTTTAACAGATGAATATTCACTCTTTTTTAAAATTTATTTATATAATTCCACTTAAAAGTTTATTATTTATGTATGTATATACAAGGTATTATCTATTAATTCCAAAAATATTAGCCCGGCATACAGTCTCTAGTCACTACGTGTAATTCAGGGTTTATATATAAATAAATACACATGTAGCAGCTCATTTTTTAATACATTTTTGCAAATATCGGAAGAAAACGTTACAAAAAAATTACGTTAACGTAATTTTAAAAAGCTTTAAATCAAAATGTCAGGCCTGCAAGTAATCTAAATACTCGTTTAATGTATAGTTACAATTTCGTTCTCTCATCCCAGATTCATTTGTAAATATTTAAAAACTTATTGTACTTAACAGTTTGGGTAGCTATTTATAAATATATTGCGGAAGTTTTCTATCAGCAAATAAAAATTTGTTCCACTACTTAATCAAAATAATGTAAACGAATAGGGTAAAATGTTTATTTCCTCTACTACAATCGTGCCTTAAACTGCCAAGGAACTCTTAACCCAAGATTCAAGTGTGTGCGAGAAAGTCGTAATTTTTATTCTTTTCGTCTGAATTTGTCTTTTTAGCGCAATTCCAATATATGTATATCAAGATAATGTGAAACTAGGAATATTTATAACAATTTTTTTATTATATTTACAAATGTAATAATATATCAAATGAATAAGGTAAAATTTGTTTTGATAATTTTTATTTAAATCTTTTAATGTTGTAAAAAAGTATTTGTTACTATTTTAAATTTTTCTTAAAAGTTGAATAAATTCAGGTGTCTTTTGAAAATAACTGGAATACTTTTAAGTTGTTTTTCTTTCTTTACAGGTGAATGTGATACTTATTCGTTATGTAATGAGAAAATATGCTGTGATAAAGCGAGATTACAGGAAAAAAATAGAAATGAAATTAGAAATAAGTGTTAGAGTACTTTTGAATTGTGACGAGCAGTGCCGAACACTAGAAATTTTCATACCCAAGATAATTCTAGTAATACGTGGTACCAGTACGTCTCCTCGGATATTCTACCCAAAGGCACAAAGTGCTCTGACTTTTCAAAAATTCATACAGATTGTTTTTCTACAATTTAAACAAACAAACTATCAACAATAAGAATATTTCCAATTAATCATTATAGTAACTTATGTGGGTGGCCCAAATGAGATAGTCTTACAGTACAAGTATTTCAAAATGTAGTACTTTGCATTTGTGCCAGTAGATGGCATTGTATAGTATGTCGGGAAGCCAACTGTTATAATCAGAAAGTGTGATGAGAAATTTATACCATAGCCATAGAACTAAGGAATCAAAAATTGCGATTCCATAAGGAACATTGGTGTCCTGACCTAATGTTTATAGACCTTGCTTAGACGACTGTACTTCAATAGGGAAATAAGACTACACGTTGCGCCATGTGACGAATTCTAGGAAAATTTCAAAAGGAATTTGGATGGGTTGTAGTGTGTAGGGTCGCTCACCTTTCCTTCTTATATAGTAATTTAAACATCTTGTTAGTGGTAGGGAAAAGAAACAATTTTGAAACATTATTTATTAAGATCTACTTTGGTTTCATTCTTGATAGATAATGATGATATTAAAGTTGTCGAATTCATATAAACAATTTAGGTATAATAGAAGGTTTGGGAATTTTGGGTATAATTAATGTGTTAATAAATTGTTGAAGAATCTAGAGATTCATTTTTTGATCAATAGTTGATTACAGTATATCGGTTTGGATGTCTGCCACCATGTTAAATCCAGATTACATAAGATATACAGTATTTACTGCTAAGTAAACTTATAAATCTACCGTACACTACTAATTTCGAATTACTTACACGAGTAAGTACTCTTAATTATTTACACGAGTGATCTGATGATCAGTCGTGTAAATAATTAAGAGCACTTGATGAGAATCCTTTTATCATTCTTTAATTCATATTGTGCCTCTTTCTTTTTTCAAACATTTTTTTTTTTATCACTTTACCTCGGAAATCATCAAATGTGAAAATTTAATATACAAAATGTATAAAAAACAGATAAACAGTTACACACTAAAAATTATTTTGAACAATACAAAACCTTCCTCACTTGTTTCTAGAAATAAGTGAGGAAGGTTTTGTATTGATCATCTTAAAATAGTTCTAGCTACAAATGCATAGAAAAAAATTATTTTATGGTTTTATTGTTTTATCTGTTTATATCCATTCATATGTATTTACTTATATGTTTTGTATGTTGTTTTTATTTTACCAATTATGTTATATATACATAGTTGCTTATTAGCATTTTGTATGCTCCGTTGGTGGATAGGCCACTTTTCCCTTTTGCCAGCATTTTTAAAGAATTTGATATTATTCAGTAAACACTTTATTTAATGAGTCTAAAATCAATTATAGCCAACTCATTGACAGAAAGAAATGATTTACAGTTATACCAAATTATTGAGCAGTGCTACAGTTTCTCTGCCCAAAAAAGAAGCAGCATCTGATTTATAACTTGAGAATATACAGGCCATATGGTATGAACTTTCTCAAGAAAAGAACCACCATCAGCCTTACTATTTTACAAATAATCTTTCTACAATAGTAAGGTTGATGCTTGGTGTTACAGGGGCTCCCTTCCATTGCTGTGTGGCAAAAGGAAAAGATATTCAGTATAGTAAGTAAAAGACAGAGATAGGAATAAATAACCAGAAAAATTATTGTCCTTAATAATTGCAGTGAAAGTCAACAAACTGACTGATAGCACCAGTCATAAGTACAATACATTATATACAGTTAATCAGGGTGCAAACTTATGATGCAAACCGGAAATCACATTACAGTAGACCCCCCTATAACACAGGTTCCTATAATTACGATTCCTATAAGACGGCGAAAAAATTCTGACGGTATCCGTACAAACCTGGTAAAAAANTTACAGAGAAAAATTCCAGATCTGCAACAATCTCTTTTTCAATGAACAAGATTGGAAAGTGAAGAAAATCTCTTTTGACACATTGGCGGTAGTTCTTAATCAATTTTCATTTTGATATTGATTGTTCTGCGATGCAACTGATACCAGTAAAATAACATTTTCATTAACTACTAATTTCATGTTTTACTAAAACATACTATCTATTTGTGAGGCTGCTGTAAACACAAGGCCCTAAGCATCACATTTTTTGCCTTTATGTAGAACTTTGTGTATTTTTGGGCTAAAATTAAACTAAGATGGTGGCTTACCTGTATACATGTAAATTAAATTCTATAATTTAATTAATAATTAGTTTAATTCTATCCTCATAATTTAGTGTTTAGATATGTTTGCTTCTTCAAATTTGAGTTATGGTTTATCGTAGATTTTTAGCAATTATAAATACAATGGATTCATATTATGTTTTATTTTCATTATTTATACAACAGATGTTTTATGTTAATTATTTACTATAGGAACAGAAATGGATAAACAAACACAGAAATATTTTATATTTTTTGTTAAATATAATATGTTTTTGAAAAAAAAAAAATTTTTTTGTCTGAATTTTGCCGTATTTTGTTCTGAAAATAAGATTAAAAGACACAATACTGGTCAGGATTCTTATATTAAATAATATTTGAATATTGATGTAAATTTTATGTCAATGTATTTATAAAGTTTTATTAATTTTAATACCATTTTTTAATAATTAAATATGCAAGAATGCAATAATAATTAATTTTTAAAATATTTCTGGTTATTAAATTTATTTATTAATTAGATTTCAGATCTAAATATTCATAATATAAATTAATTAAAACTTTTTTATTCATTTTTTAAATTTCAGGGTGATGGTGTGAAATACTTTTTCGATAATTTAGAAAGAATAAGAAGTGTAGTAAGTAAAATTTTTTATAATACAAAATTAAGATGATATTCTTCTAACAGGCAACCTAATCCAGGAAAAGTAGTATAAAATTGTGATAGATAGCCAGTTAGAAGAGTATCTAATTTTTTAATTGAAATGAAACCTTTAATAAGTAAACAATGCAATTTGAAATTCTTTTCTGTTATATATTTTTATGTAATTTATAACAAAAAAAAAATCATTGTTATTTTGCTCTTACACATTCTAGAACAAATATTTTTTTCGGGTATAACCTCATAGGCTCCAGAGCCTTTGGGAGTTATACTGGTAACAGTTACCTGACGATAAACATTTTTCACTGTTCTTATTATATATGTTCTTATGAATGATATCTTTTGTTTTTAATTTATATCTGCAATAATGGCACCTATATTAATTTATTTCTTGCCTACAAATAATTATAATGTAGTTAACAGTAGCAAAACAAAAATCACTTGAAACATGAAATAATGACTCCATAACCATCTACAGGAGTGATCCTACATTGAGGAAAATTTAGTAGTCTATTTTAGTAGTTAAATCATTAAATTAGTAGTTACTGAAAATTTAGTTTTACTGATATCTGTAGAATGATCATTTTCAAAGTTAAAATTGATTAAGAACTACAGTACCTCCAATGTGTCAAGAGAGACTTTCTTCACTTTCCATCTTGTCCATTGAAAGAGATATTGCTGAAGAACTGGAATTTTTCTCTGTAATTGATGATTTCGGTACTGCTAAAAGCAGGAGAGCTGTTTCATAGGTGAATTTCTGTACTCCTACTAAATTTTTCAGTTCGTTGTAAAACTATTTTGCACATTTTTTAATTACTTTATTGTGTCTTTTACTGCCTGTTTCTATATTAAAAATGTTTGCATTATTTGTAGACTTAAATAAATCTACCTTATATTTCTAATGCCCTTTTAAGTGGGTACGAGGAGTCAGCGGAAAAATGTACGATGACTCCGACTCCAGCTTTTTAAGGACTTAAAAAATTTCGTCACCCAAAACAGACTCGACTATAAAAGTTCTTACTGTTTATTAATAACAACAATGTTTTCAAACTATCTAGGTTCACTGTCACTAGGTTTTAGTTGAATTGAAACTCTAAAACTATATTATGAAAAACTGGGATGATGATTAAAAATGCTTTTGATAATTAAAAGTATAGAGTTCTGTTATAACTCAAAGATAAAAAGTTAATGAAATTTAAGGATAGTTTCAAAGTTCTGAAGTCTTCTAAAATTAATTTTTAATTTTGTAACGTGAAATTAGATTAGAAAGAAAATTTTAGATTTCATATTGAGTGAATGAAAGACATTATAAAAAAAGTTATACTAAATCTAAGATAAATAGTCCAGCATAAGACTGCATGCTGAATTTATATGATTGACTGCAAATTTGTTTGAAACCATATACTGAATTTATATGAATTGCATTTTAAGCACTCAAGAATGAAGAATGTTCATATACTCTAATATAGTCTATTCCAGTAAAGTTGACATCTAATGTAAGCAGAATGGTTTTGGTATCACTCCTTTGATGAAATCTGATTAATTGGCTATAATTAGCATTATGTGAAATAAAATTAATGTTTAATATAGATGAGATATTAAAGTAACTTGTATTTTTAAAGAAATTTAATTAACAATTATAATCATCTACATTTTTGTCTTTCTTAATAATTTTTAAGTCATTTATTATATTAAGATAGAAATAAAATATGTAATTTATTTGTTATATAAAGGTTGTAGATATCAAATTGATTTTGTAAAATGCATGCGTATGTTTATTTTGAGAAATTGAAAAAAAACTTTTATTTTATTTGAAATGTATGGATGTCTTAGAACAAACGAAATC